TACAAACAACTATTCCGGTAACTATGGCACAGATGACCATATAGCAACCATGGCACAAGCAACTATTCCGGTAACTATGGCACAGGTGACCATATAGCAACCATGGCACAAACAACTATTCCGGTAACTATGGCTCAAATGACCATCTAAAGACTGATGTAAATGAACCCATAATAATCATCGATAAAATGTGTCAATGAAATAACTATAATTCGGGTAGTGGTGTAAAACGGCTTAGAAAAGCATTTAATTAGTCAGAGTCAGACCAAATGAGCAGTATGGATTTAAAGAAATCGTTTAAATTATTCATTATTGTAGGATTGATTGTGCAATGTTGTATCAATGAATATCTAATTTATTAATAGTTTAGAATTAATGCGCGAATTGAAGCATAAAATATTGATTAATAAAACTCAAATTTTATGAATAGTATAATTCATATTTTTGTACGTACAAATAGCGCCAATATAATTACAAAAAAAATCGTATTCTTGTCTAATCTTATTGAGCGCTATTTATATTTATAAAAGCAAAAAAAAAATAAAACAAAAACGACAAAAAAAATTAAATTTGTAAAATGCATTATCTTTACTTAGAGTGAGAATTCTCCGAATTAAGTTTTCTGCTAGCCTAAGATATACTGGTTATATTATCAATTTTGCGTATTACTTTTTTAATGTAGCTTTTTATGCTATTGCATCCGTACATGTATTCTATCAGTCTAGGGCTAAGTGAATCGCTTGACGATGAACGTTACTTGTATTTAAATTAGAATTAAAATTAAAATTAAATTATTTATTTTATCTGATGCATATATATAAATTTCATACTTATGAATTTGCTTAGATGAAAATTAAAATAAAAATTAAATTATTTATTTTATTTGATGCATTAATGAAATTCAATGTTTATGAACTTATTCAAATTAGAATTAAAATAAAAATTAAATTAAATTATTCTAAAAAATTAGTAAAAGTCATTTGAAATTCAAAATTAAGTTTCAAATTTCTAGAAAATGTTCAAATTGATAAATATAACACGAATTTCTACAAGTATCTATACGAATTCGCTTTCGATTTTCTAATTAGAAAATCGAATTTCTTATTTCTATCTTTTTGAATATCGTATTTCAAGAAAATAGAAATTCATCCACGAATACATATAGGCACTCCTAGAATATCTTCTTTTATACTCTATAATACATTTTCTAGTTTACAGTGTATGATTTTTCGAAAATTTCATTGATATTCGAATTAGAATTAGACAGCTACTCACGTTATAGGGATGAAAGATCTATAAGAAGTATAGCATTTTTTACAGTAATATCTCTGTTTCATCAATGGCCATTGTATACCTTCGTTAGCTTCTCTCATTTCGTATTACAAAAGATGTCGTCAGTTTCCGCAATAATGCGTATCAGAATTTTATTTTATTCTTTCTCCTCCGTTTGTAAGACGGCTGATTACACAAACCACTAGGGTCCTACGGGAACGACGTTTTCCCGTGTTTTCCCGTTCCGTTTCCCGCGGAAATCGGGAACGGGAATTCCCGTGAGACCTCAGGAACGGGAATTCTGGTGGACACTCCGGGAACGGGAACGGGAATTGTATTAAAAATTTCTGTTCCCGGCAAACCCTATGTCAGAATTCTGTTTGCATTAAAATCTGTTAAGGATAAGGGTGGGTGTGGGTGTGGGTATGGGTGTGGGTGTGGGTGTGGGTATGGGTGTGGGTGTGGGTGTGGGTATGGGTGTGGGTATGGGTGTGGGTATGGGTG